CAGGGTCCGTGCCAGCTCCTGGCTCTCGGAGAGGTTTGGCTGGTGCCCTTGGCTGGCGTGGCCAGAGGACACAACCCTCAGCCTGTGCCTGACGGCTCTCCCAAGACATGACACCACACCATGGGGGTCTCTGGTGCTCCTCACCGCACGGACACGGCCAGGGCCTACCACAGACTCTTTGCTGTGGATGACCTTTCATGAGAAGAGCCAGGAGAACCAGGTGTCCCAGGGGAACACCAGTGAGGACTGGCCTCTTCTGCTTCTGCTTGGGCCCGTGTTGCTCCTCAGCAGCCTTGTCGCAGGCTCAGGAACCTCTTTGTGCTGGTGATGGGACTTTGTGGCTCTGCTCCTATGTGTTTCACACTGAACCCGGGCACCAGCCTCGGTGCTTCAGTTCCTGAAGGCGTCTGTAGGTGTGAGGTTTGTGCAGGACATGGTGCAGATGTTCCAGGCTCACAGCTGCCCTGTGTGCAGGTGTAACAGCAGTGTCTGCAGGGAAGGCAGGTTAACCATCAGCATGGGAGCTACAACTCGGGATTTACGGCTTAGCTGGGACCACGCGTGCATCTTCGCTTGTCACTGGCGTCTCCCTGAGCACCTCACCAGTTTGCATCATGGTGCTGAGTGGTCTTCAGGCTGCCACAAATAATGGTGGTCATGGTGTGAAGGTGGATGGGCCAGGTGAAGACCTGCCGTGCTCTGGTGTCTCAGTGTCTGCTGAAGATCCCTGAGATGAAAGGAGACTTGGGACGGCTGGATTCCTGGGTCTGTTTAGCCCCAACACAAGTGTGAAGGAGACTCTGCTAGGGAGTGCGTCTGCCCATGGGACAGATGAGTTTCCTGGCACTTCCTTTCCTTGAAGTTATTAAGTGAAAGCTCTTCTGGTTTCTGCCACTCATCCGTTTGGAAGAAGGATGCTCAAATGCTGTCTCATCCCAGATCTAACCAGGGACATGGAGTGGATCCCTATTCTGCATTTAGAGGAAAATCCCAACTTTGCCCTCTTTCAGGATCATCAGAAGCAGAAATACTTTGAGGAAACAGCTCTAAGGGCTTTCCAGATCTTCGCTGTGGTTAATTGCCTTTCCTCTGCAGTTTATTGTATTTCTCATTTCCTTTGAGCTGATGTCACACGTTTCCTCTTCTCTAGTGACTCTGCAGTCATGCTGCAGTTGCTCCCATTCTGGTGTCCTGCTCTGGAGAGCTGCCTGCGTGGAGACCTTCCAGCCCCAGGTCAGAGAGAATAACCCTTGGAAGACGACCGAGTATCCTCGGTAAAACACCCACCACTGCTCTGCTGAAGCTGAAGATGGACGTGTCGTGCTGAATCCTTTCAACTGCGGTAAGCACAACATACACTTTATTAGTACTGTTCCTCTCAGAACATACCTTCACCGATGGCGTAGCTCGTGTTCGTGTGGTCTTTGCACCTTGCAGCCACGAGCCAGCAAATCCATGCTGGGAGAGCGTGGCCCATGGGAGAGAGCGCGGACTGGGAGCAGAGCCTGCGGTTTCCCGGGCCATGCTCTGCTGTGCGGCCGTGACCTCCACCTCCAGTTCTGCTCGCAGTGGAGCTGGTGGTGCAAACCGCTTGGGCTGACCGGCCGGCGCCGCACGGCAGCGGCCTGGGCTGGAGTCGCCAGGGGTGCAGCTGCTGCGGCAGGGAACCCCGGCACTCCAGAGTCTCGGGCTTAGGACATCTCGCAAGCACACGGGCGATGCGAGCTCGAGTTCCTCAGGCTGAAGAGGGAAGTGGGTATTGAGTAAATTTAGTGGGGAATGGTGCCATGCTGTCTTCTGGCTGTGTTCTGTAGAATATCGGGCTTGGCAAGTGAGAAGGGACAACCAGCTCTCTTGGGATTCCCTGAAGGACCTCGGCATCGGCACTGCACAGCCTGCCAGTGCAAACACAGATGAGCTCCTCCGAGTGCTGCTGGGCCAGGGGCCGGCGCTGCCGTCGCCCACAGCCCTCCTTTGCCAGAGATTCCTGGCAGGCTTAACCACGTAGAGCACGTCCTCGCGTTCCTCTCCCCAGGTCAGGGCACAGCTCCGCAGCTCAAACCTATCTTCTGGGCAGGGCTCTGCGTGGAGGGGAGAGGTCCACCCCATCTGCTAAACCTGGCAGCGGATGCGCAGGCCTGGAGACCCCGCCAGCGAAGTCCACCAGAGCTCCCGGGCAACGCGTGGAGGCTGCCGTGCCCACGCACAGCCCCAGAAACAGAGGGGCAGACGGAGAGTGCCCCAGGCAGAGCCCAAAGGGACGTGGTGAGGAACGGTTGTGCCTCTGTGTTGGATGTGGCACTTCTCTCCTCCTCGTGAATTCTGCTAGTTGGATTCATCGACTTTTTTTTCCCCCTACTTTGGGTATATCCAGGTCTGGTGCTACGGTGATAGAACACCTTTCGCTGCAAAGATCACAGCCCTGCGCACCAGAACTGTTCGCTGCAGGTGGCAGAGAGTCAGAGCAGTGGGTTTAGGATGCAGGTTTGGAGAAAACTTCGAGTTCTCTAACGATCTTCTATTTAGGACTTCTTTCTGTTTCCTTCTTCTACCATCAGAACAGTGTACCAAACGCAAAGCTCCTCCCTAGTCTCTCCTGCCCCTGCACAGCTTCACCCCTTCCCTGGACGTCTGCGCCTGCCAGGTGCCCTGCCGAGCCGAGAGATGCCAGCCCTTCCAAGCGGCCGGTGTCCTTCCCAGAGATGCTCCCTCCATGGGTGGGAGCGCCGGGCTTAGACACGGACGTTTATTTACGGCTGTGTTGTGACAGCCACCGCCTTTCATACAGAGATGAGGGTGTGGAGGCAGATCCATGAGATGACCAGTAGGACTTGCCCTGGGTCCTGCACGAATCAAAGGTAGAACAGGGAACGGAGTGTGGGCCCCTGCCTGCTCCGGGACCTCGCCGCGGGGCAGCAGGGAGTGACACGTTCCTCCCCAGGGATGTGGCCAGCCCTGCTGGGGCACAGCCCAGAGCACCCTCACCTCCCAGCTACCACCCCCTGAGCCAGCTACTGCCTCTTAGAGACCGGGGGGTTCACAGCAGGGTGGCAGAGATCAAGGTGGAAGAGGACACACGCGCGTGTCGCCTGGCCAGTGACTAGTTCTGCCACAGCTGCTTGTGAATTCACGTGGAACGTCGTTGAAAGACCGAGTTGAAAGACACTCGGCCCCCAGAGCTGCCCAGCACGCAGCAGCCTGTGGAGGTCCAGGGACAAGTTGTGGATAGCTGCGGTTGCCACGTCCTTAGAGGACCTGGGAGGGGTGAGGAGGAACGGGCTCTGCGAGATGACTGCTGCCTGCTTCTCCTAACAACTGGAAAGAGGTACCAAGGGGTTGGCAGAGTTTGCTGAAGTACGGGAGAGCTTTCTTGAGCTAGAGCTGACTTCCCCATCTGCAGAGGAAAATTGCAAATGTGTAAATGAGGAACCAACAGCACATGGAGACAAAGAGTGGCTCCACTCAGAGAGGCTGAGCTGGGGGCCCAGGCCACTGTCTGCTGCTGGGAAAGAGCCAGAAAGCTCCGAGGCAGCAGGGTGCCTTCTCGGGAGGCAGCAGGCTTTTGGGAAGGTGCCTGCTGTCCGTGGGGCTGGCAGAGCTGAGGCAGGCACATGGAAATGTGCAGCGCCCAGCACCCCCAGCGTGACCCACCCAAGCAGTTTAGGCTTCGCAGCTGGTGGCACACTGCACTCACTCCGACGGGAACCACCGTGCTCTGCAAAATAGGTTACAAACCCTGCAAGTTTACCCTCAGCGAGCAACCCCGCGTCCTTGCTGGTGGCTCTCAAAGGGCTTTACCTGCATGGCCAGCTATCTGCCATGAAGGAAGAGGGAGAGAAACCAGGCAGAGCGGCAGGACTGTGTCACGGAGAGGAGAGTCCTGCCCGGCGTCAGACCCGGAGCTGGCGTGAGAGCCGAGAACGGGTGCGCACGGGCGAAAGCAGCAGGGTAAAGCACGCGTGGCACTGGACTCAATCCCATGTAAATGTGAGACAAGAACACGCACAGGAATCTGAGATGTCCAAACTGTAGGCAAGATTTGCAGAAATATGAACTGAGGTGGGGACTGGTAACATTAAAAACCTGAAGGCATCTCTGCAGGGACAGTGTCAGCAGCCTCACCAGCCACCCAGCAAAGCACAGAACCGCTGCTGCCGACACTCGCGTTCCGTGCAGAAATGGGGGGGGGAGGGAAGAGTCAGATTGGTTTGATGACAACTTGAGTTCAAAATGATGGCATGATAGCCAACAGCCAAGATCTGAAGAGACATAACCCGTAGTTACAATCAAGCATGTACCACAAAACACCACCCTTTAGGATCAGTGACTCAGCTTTTACATCGAGTGAGTAAAAAAATTGAGAGCTCTGGGAGCCTACGAAGTGAGCGTGAGATCCTGCGGTGCCCGCAAGTGAGCAAACAAACACGATCTCGACAAGCGTAGGCAGCAAAACGTCAGAAAACAGCAAGCAGAGGATGGCTCTGGAAATGGCACTAGTGAGACACCTTTCCAGATACCGTCTCACTTCTGGAGTTCCTAGGTTAAAATAAATGTAGGCAAGTTAGAAAGCAGCAGGAACCACAGGGGAAAAACAGAGTCCCAGAGAACCTGTTTGCTTACAGTAAAAGATTAAGAAGCTTGAGACAGAGCAGAGTAACAGATGATTTTGTCTGAGATCCCTCATGCAGAAAAGTCTTCTGAGATGGGAGATGGGTGATCTGAGATCCGCACTGCAGCGAGCAGTGCTGGAGGGAGACATGGAGGCTCGTAGGGTGCGGAAACAGGATCAGAGAGAGGACCAGGGGTCAGGGCAGGTGTCTGGGGCTGGAGCCAAGGCTTGGAGCAGAACTCCTGCTGCCACAGACAGCGGAAAATGAAAGGTGGGCTTTGGTTTAGCCCTGGCACCACAGCAAACAGCTCATTTTATGCTTTGTATCTTTAGGTAAAAAGAAAAGCTACAGCAGGAAATTTTTCTTCAGACGTGCCTGCTCAGCACCACGATGTCTGGAAAGGGCAGAGGTGGTGCTGAAGGTAGTGCTGATCCCTACATCGCATGCCACATAGACTCCGAGTTTCGCTACAACCTCTTCACTGTTTTCTACAGCATCATTTTCATTCTGGGCTTTGTTGCCAACTGCTACGTGCTCTGGATTTTTGGCCGTATTTACCCCACCAAGAAACTCAACGAAATCAAGATATTCATGGTGAACCTGACAGTAGCTGACCTGCTCTTCTTGGTTACGATGCCAATGTGGATCATTTACTATCACCACCGCGGAGACTGGATCATGCCCGAGTTCCTCTGTAATGTGGCTGGCTGTTTATTTTTCGTGAACACCTACTCTTCTGTCGCCTTTCTGATGGTCATCACATACAACCGTTACCAAGCCGTGACGAATCCCATTAAAGCTGCTCAGTTTACCACGCAGAGAAGGGGTATCTACTTATCAGCAGCTATCTGGATCATCATAGTGGGCAGCTCTGTGTATTACCTTTTTGACAATAATACCAATCAGGAGGAGATCAATTCACAGAATTTCACACGGTGCTTTGAGGGCTATGACCCTTCTAGCAGTGTTTCCGCTGTTCTTGCCATTCACGTCATCATCTGCGTTCTCTTCTATATCATTTTCCTTTTCATACTCGGCTGGAATGTCGTCATTATCAGGACCTTGTTCTCCAAATCAGTCAAGCAAAGGGCGCTCTGGATGGTTTGCACAGTGCTGGCTGTGTTCATCATAAGCTTTGTGCCTCACCACATCGTGCACCTGCCCTGGACCCTGACTGTTCTGGAGCAGTGGAAGACGGAAGACTGTCAGTTGCGCCAACAACTCAATGATGCTCACCAGGTGACTTTGTGCCTCCTGAGCATGAACTGTGTGTTGGACCCAATTATCTACTGCTTCCTCACCAAGAAGTTCCAGAAGCATCTTTCAGAAAACCTGAGAAGTATGAAAGGGAGTCGCAAGTGCTCCAGGCACACCACAGACACGGTGATCGAGGGCACCATTCACCAGGAGGACGCCATCAGGATCTAGGCCAGCCCTGCGCTGGCTGCAGGCTGAGGTGCGTGCGTTAGGCGCTCGCCTCTCCCCAAGCAGAGGCACTGCGGGACACGACAGAGGGCCAGGATGTTACATTTCCATTTCCATTTTCCCAGACAGAAGAATGAACGCGCATTTCTTCTATCACATGCAACTGGCAGAACTGGAACCTGTAGTGATCTGGCAGAAAAACACCTTCTGCCTGGGCTGATGTTCTCCTGGGCACTGGGAACAGCTCAGACGACCTGCTCTTACATGAAAGAAATGTGTCACGGAGACTCTGCACTGAGCTCCTGGAAGCGCGCTGAAATCATCCATGTGTCAGCCCAGACAGCACCAGCCCTGGTCCTTCACCCGCCCAGCTCACACCAAGAATCCAGTATCAGGGCTGTGGGAGGCTTCTAACAGACCTGGAAGAACAGACTGAGCATCATCACGTGGCTTTTCTAAGCAGCTTGTGTGGTTCTGTGAAGAAGTTCTTGAGCGGCCAGAAGGGACGCAGTCCAAGGAGTTCCTCAAACGCCATTGCAGGAGAGATCTGCACCTCTGGTCCCTGTTTGGCCACTCGCAGTCTGCTGGGGTCTGTGCTTGGCAGATGCCTGGGAGCAGCTCTTACGGACCTTTGCCTTTGCTCCCAGCTCTGGAAGCAGTCCCGCAGCCATGACCAGCAGGCCACAACAGGAAGAGAAATTGGCAGCGCCTCAGCCCCCATCCCCACCCCAGCACGATGTCCAAAGGGGACTACTGCCTGCCCTGGCTCCTTGCACCACAGCAGAACTGGCAAACCAGTGGCCTCCTGCACTCGGTTTTGCAATTTTTGGCTGACTGCATGTGTCTGTGGAGATCCAATCTCACGTTGGAGGCTCCAGATAACAGAAGATCTTTGTCAGCATGGGCATTATGATAATAAGAAAAAAACCCCTTAAAACGCTTCAGTATCTTTGTTCTTATTTATTTAAACTAGGGTTGTAGCAAGCAGCTGTACGTTATTGCTTCCCCCAGCCTATTTCTGCTACGAAGAAACGAAGATGACCAGACCTTGATGTCCTACCACAAGTGAAGCATTAGGTCACAGCAGCGCTCAGTAAATCAGTGCTGCAGGGACAGAGTGTGCTCGACAGACACGGAACGCACGCGCTCCGAGGAGGCTGGGGACCCCTCGCCCCGGGCTGCCCGCTGTCAGGCGGGGCCCAGGGCAAAGTGGTTTCCAGGGCTGCTGAGTTCTCTTACCAATCATGAGACACTTCAGGTTCCTTTTCTGACCCCAATTGCTCAATCCAGCACAGGAAACTGGGCAGGGAAGGGAACTTGCTTGTTTTCACAACAGTTCTTGGTTCCCTAAACTACCTAGGAAAGTCCGGTTGCTGACAGGAAAGCGCCTCTGACCCGTGACACGGATTATTCACAGGCACGGGCAGCAGCCTCCCCCCATCCCGCACACGCAGGCAAGCTCAGCTCTTCCCAAAGAGAGGAGCAGCCTTCCTCTCAGACTGCACCGACGCTCCGTGGCGACACGGTCTGTCCGGCCCATCTCCTGAGGAGCCTCAGGCAGCTTTTACACTTACTCGTGCGAGTGAGCAGGGTAACTAAGACAACTGAAAGAGCTGAGGTTTAGATTAGACAGAAGGAAGAAATTCTTCCCCATGAGGGTGGTGAGGCCCTGGCCCAGGCTGCCCAGAGGAGCTGTGGCTGCCCCCTTCCTGGCAGGGCTCAAGGCCAGGCTGGACGGGGCTGGGAGCACCCTGGGCTGGGGGAAGGGGTCCCTGCCCGTGGTGGGGGGGGGGCAGGGAGGTGATCTGTAAGGTCCCTTCCATCCCGTGATTCTGTGATTTCTTTTTCCAATGCCATCTGCCAGCGCCAGCCACGCACTCCAGGCCCAGCGCCAGGCAGAGGGAAGCGTCTGATCACCACGTGAATGCATTTCCCTCCTGGGCCTGGACTCTGCTCCAGCCATGGCCACCCGTGAGGAACACCCGCAGGCACCTCCTAGCAGAGCGAGCTCCCTCTGTCCCTCCCTCAGCCACGCTCAAAGCTTTGCCCTGAGCCTGCAGCTGTCGGAGCCACAGCACATGGCAAGGGGGGAGATCTCTGGAATTTAGAAGCCTAAATCTGGCTTGCTGGAGGAACTTCTCCCCAACTTTCTGCCCTCCGCAGACAGCACGCTCTGGCTGAGGAGCTCTCGCAGCTGGCGGACACGGTGGAGCTTTGCTCTTTTCCCCTTGCCCCCCAGCGCGATGGCAGAGCTCGGCTCCACGGCCCCCGGAGCACCCCACAGATGGAGCCTGGCAGCTGCTGGAGGAAAAGGAAAGGGATTTTACGCGGAGATCTGGTAAATGCGTGACCTCCCTCTCCCGATTCCGGGAAAGCCTGCGGCAGAGTTTACAGCTCAGGCTAATGACTGGGGGTAAAGATCGTGCTTCACTGCACAGCAACCGGCTGTGAGGCCAGCGGGGGCCCAGAGAGCAACCGTGAACTCGGCTTCAGGGGAAAAGGGTCAGCGGAGCGACAGGCCCCGGGGACCCTGCGCGGGACACGTTCCGGCCCCCGCGCGCTCCTCTGTTCCTGAAGGGCTCTCTG